CTTTGTGTCAGGCACTATTCTAAGCACTTTGTACATATTAATCATCAATTATTTCCAAAAAAGAAAATAAAGACTTGTCAACACTTGGGATGCACTTAGGACCTGTGACTATTTCCAGGATTATCTTCCACAGCAGGATTACTGTCACCCAATGGGGATTTCGATGTCTCTCCCGTACTAGCTGGCTTGCAGAAGGCCAACCTAAAATGACTCTAAAAAGAAACAAAATAATATATATAATTGGACTCACCCTTGTTTCATGAGACAATAGTAGTTAGATGTCCAAGGCAGTTTTAGTATTTTTCTTGCTACTTTTCAGCCCTTCTAAAATTTCTGTCCAGGGTTTGTTTTGACTTTGTTTTCATTATTGGCACATACATTACTTCAACATAGGCTGTGCACAGTGTGGAGGCCGAGGCTGGACAGGGCCAAGTTGATTACGTGTGCTCTGGCCTGTAGCATTCACTGACAGTTCTGTTTCTCTTGGCTTGTCAGTCAAGGGAGCTGTCCTGTCATCCTTTATAGCTTGGCTTCTTCCACTGTTAAACCACAGCGTTGTAGTTGTCATGTGTCAGCCTCTAGTCAATCCTACAGCTCCTCACATTCTGAGCATGTTGTACATACTCTGAATTAGATTTACTGGCAATTGAACAAAATAATTATTTTAAGGCTTTTTTTTAACTTCTGTCACGAATGACTCATTGAATATCTCTTAGCTTCTTATCCCAAATAATTTTACTTGGCTTGATTGTACAGTGGAATCATAATGTTCCTTTTTGAGACTAGAAATGTTTTGGAGGACACTTAGGGACTTAAGTTCCTCTTATCCAGCATTACCTTGAATACTCTATAAATGTGTCAGTTCTGAGAGTGATGGAGTAAATAATTGACAGACTAGGCCAGAAGGCTTTTGCTTGTTTGCCAGTTTCGTAAGATGCTAAATCCTTTTATATGTGGACAATTACTGCTTTCAAAAGAATGCAATGGCAGGTACATTTTATTTTGCATTATTGCTAGTCCTCAGGCTTTGGAGGAGGGAACATATTCTGTGACTTGTTTGCTTCTGTTCAGAAAATCCATAACACCTTCATACAAAACCAGGGATTAAATTGTATTATTAATGTGATGATAGATAAGTAACATGTTTTCCTATTCTTAACTATCTTATAGCAGGAAGTTCAGGTTTAGGATAGGGCATGACTCCAGTTCTAAAAGCCTCCCAAACTTCTGTTGATGTCATTGTGGTTTTTGTAACACTGCAGCATGTGAGAAATAAAATCTTAAATTGGCTATGAATACAGTAAATATTTCCTTTCTAGTTCTCAAACTTGAAAATTGAGCTGAGCATGTATCTCAGGGCCTATCCTAGGATTATAGTTTCAGTATCAACACCGTTACCAGCTTGGTTTTGTTTGAAAAAAGCAGTAATGGTTGTGCTAAAAACATCTTCCTCTTATGAAAACCCTTGAATTTAATCCATGCCATAGTGGGACATCAAGTTGATTATGTTCATAGCAGAAATATACCATACTTGATTGTGGCCAGTCAGAATTTGCTCATTCATATCATTTATTCAGGGCCAAGCACTGTTAAGTGCTGGGGACATCCTCTGTGCTGACTCAGGAGGGCATGTGAAATGTGAAGGGAATAGATAACGCCAGGGCTTGGAAGCAGACTGGATGTTCAAAGGGTGTTCAAAGCTAAATAAAATAGGTCTTCATCTTCTCTCAGGGTGCTGTTAATCAGACAAGTGATAAGGCAACAGGATTCAGGGGTCACATTGGAAACCTATACAGATTACAGTGGTCCTGGAGGAGGCAGCAGCCAATGGGCCAGAACTGTTTTGGTTTTTTTATAAATAAATTGTGTGTTTTTATTAGTACATGTTTACAGTATATAATGATTATATTTGTCAGGGGGATATTATACCTAACACATCTTAATTATTTTTTTGACTCTTTGCCTCCAGTTCCTCCCTGCTCCCTCCAACTCTTGATCCCCTTCGCCTTTGAAAAAGCTCTATTGCCATATTTTTCTTTGATTCTTTTTTTAATCTCTCTCCCTTATTTCCCACTCTCCTTCCATCTCATTTCCTTTCTCATTTAAAAAAAGATCTCATTCCCTAGTACCTATCCTTTATTTTTAAAGAGGTCTCCCATTTCCTATTATCCTTTATTTTGTTCTGTATTTACATTTTTGGGTTCCTCATATAAAAGAAACCATGTAAAATTTCAGCTTGTGAATCTGATTTATTTCACTTAACATTATGATCTCAAGGTGTATCCATTTATAAATGCCTCAAGTTATCCTTCTTCATGGCAGAGTAGTACTCCATCCTGTATAAATATAAGCATTTCTTGTTTAACAACTGAGTTAACTTGTGACTGTGTCATTAAATAAATTGATCACTAAATGAGGAATTGTATGTAGTACATACATTACAATATTCAGGAAGGCACTGCGCCACTGAGCTATATCTCAGGCCCTGCATTAAAATATTGAGAAGAAAGAAATGGTCAAAGGGAACTCCTACTTGATGCTTTGCTTTTATTTGCATAATTCTTACATGCAGTACTATGGTGTATAACAAAACAAAACTACAGCACTGTACTGTATAGTACAATCAGTGAAAATTACAGTATTGTATAAATAAGATGTACTGTAAAAAAGACATTGAGGCTGTATAAACAAGATGTACAGAACTGTACAAAAAAAAGGAGAAAGGTCGTAAGTCTGAATCCTTAAACAGGTTGTTAAACAAAGGATATCTGTACCACATTTTCGTTATCCATTTGTCTGTTGATGGGCATATAGGGTGTTTCCAAGATTTAGCTATTATGAGTTGTGCTACTATAAACATGGGTATGCATGTATCACTGTAATATAATGACTAACTCTTTTGGGAAGATTCCTAGATGGGGAATGAATTGCTGGGTCAAGTGGAATTTCTATTTTTAGTTTTTTGAGGAATCTCCATATTAATTTCCATAATGGTTGTACTAGTTTACATTCCCACCAACTATAAAAAAGTGTTTCTCCCTACTCCCCCTGCAGCCTCACCCAAATTTGTTTTTGATTGCTTCATGATGGCCATTCCTTCTGGATTAAGATGGTATCTCAGAGTTGTTTTAATTTGCATTCTCTAATGGTGGGCATGTAGAACTTGTTTCGTGTATTTATTGGCCATCTGTACTTCTCCTGAGAAGTGTTTAGTCATTTCAGGTGCCCTTTTTTTTTTTTTTTTTTTTTTTTAACTGATCTAAGGAATAGCAGGCAAAATGTTTTCCTATTCTATGTTTTGTCTCTTCACTCTGTTGGTTGTTTCCTTTGCTGTGCAAATGCTTTTTAAACTGATATGATCTCAGTGTTGATTCTGTGTTTTTTCTTGTGCCATTGGGGTTCTATTTAGAAAATTCTTGTCTATTCTTATGACTTTAAGAGTTTTACCTATTTTATCTTTCAGTAGATTATTTCTGTTCTAAAATTTAGATCTTTGATTCATTTTGATCTCAGTTTAGTACATGGTGCAATGTATGGGTCTAGACTCAATTTTCTGCATGTGGATATCTGGTTTTTCTAGCACCATTTATTAGAGGCGATCTTTCCTCTAGTGTGTGTTTTTGGTCCCTTTCTTGAAGATCAGATAGTTGAACATGTCTGCTTGTTCTGTTCCATTGATACACGTCTTTTTCTGTGCCAGTACCATGCTGTTTTTTCATCACTATAGCTTTGTAACATCAAATCTGGAATTGTGACTCTTCCTGCTGTGCTATTATCACCCAAGATTGCTTTTGCTTTTCTAGCCCAGAACTGTTGAAGGTTAGGCTTTGAAGTGGTGGTGACTTAAACAGTGGACAGTTGGGGAAAAGAAAAGAGGCTGGTATGGCTCGCAGAGAGAGCTGAGAGAGCCATGCTGGGCAAAGTGACCACACTGGACTACGCAGGCAATGCCTTCAAAGAAGGAATTCTTAGTTTACTAGAGCACAGCTGGTATCAGCCAGAGCGGCCCTGCGGTTTTTGACATGTTATATTTTAGTAAGGAATTTATTCTTTCTAGTTATGACAAAGTATAAAGGACCATAAAATTTCAGAAGAGTTGTATGTCGTTTTCTTTGTATGGTCACAAAATGTTATCCAAAGAGTTTTGGAGTTAGAACTGTTTTCTCATTATTTTCGATGAGTGTGTGAATTGGGAAATTAAATACTGTGCTACCACCTGTGGTTGCGCACACCTGTAATCCCATTATCCCAGAGCCTGAGATAGGAGGATCACCTAGAGTTCCAGGCCGTCCTGAACTAGTGAGACTCCACCTTAAATTTTTAAAAGAAACAAACTGCTTCCCAGACAGAGATGCTGCCTCTTCCTTAGGGGTGACGGCCCTTAGTATTCATTCATTCCCCTGTGGCTCGCTCTCTGCCTTTACTAAGCAGACTGAAGGAGTGACGGTATCCTCTAGGTTCCTTCCCCGTCTGCCCTGCAGCACCCTAGAGATTACTGTATCTCGGGATAATTACTAACACGTGCCCAGTAGTCCAAGACCCCCACGGCGTTCCTCTGCCCCCTTCTCAGTGAATAGAGCCTGTCATCCAGGAACGGACACAAGTGTCTGGTTGGCTTCGGCGACGCTACACCGAGTCCGGTCGACCAAGTCGGGCGCAGCTGGGTGGGAGGCACAGTGAGGCTGCGCGTGTGACAGACATGAGGCGCTGAGCACGGGTCAAGGTGCCCTGGCGGTGAGGAACTAGAGCCCAGCTAGGCGGCAGAGGCGCTCCTGAGCCATGCCTACAAGCTGGATGACTCCGTGCAGTGGGCGCAGCTGGAGACCAAAGCGAAGGTGTCCGGGCGCCCCCAGACCCGAAGCAGTGTACTGGCTGGGAGAGGACTTCTGGAGGGGC